GTACCATGGCGGATAGCAGCGAAGTGACGACTACGCCATGGGCAGACGTGGCGCCTGCCAATGCTCAGAGCAACATGGACCGCGTTATGTCCGGCTGGTTCACCGAGGTCAGTCCTATGTGGCCTGGCCAGGCAATGTGTCTGCAGGTGGAGAAGGTGCTGTTCCATCAGAAGAGCGACTTCCAAGACGTGATGGTGTTCAAGTCCAGCACCTAYGGCAACGTCCTGGTCCTYGATGGCGTCATCAATTTAACAGAGAGGGATGAGGCTGCTTATCAAGAGATGATCGTGCATCTTCCTCTGTGCTCCATCTCAAACCCGAGGAGAGTTCTTGTCGTTGGCGGCGGCGACGGCGGGGTGCTGCGGGAGGTGGCGCGCCATGCTTCCATCGACACCATCGATCTTGTCGAGATTGATAAAATGGTAATCGATGTGGCRAAGGAGTTCTTCCCGAATGTGGCCGTGGGCTTTTCTGACCCCAGAGTAAACATCCACGTYGCCGAYGGTGTGGCTTTTCTCAGGGATGCGGTTCCAGGTGTCTACGATGCCATCATCGTGGACTCGTCGGATCCTGTCGGCCCCGCGCAGCAGCTGTTCGAGAGGCCCTTTTTYGAGAGCATGGCGAGAGCTCTGCGGCCCGGAGGTGTAATCTGCACGCAGGCGGAGAGCCTTTGGGCGCACCTCGGGGTCATCGTGGGCATTGCCCGTACGTGTAGGGAGGTGTTCAAAGGTGAGGTGAATTATGCCTGGACCAGCGTTCCGACCTATCCTTGCGGCACCATTGGATTCATGCTGTGCTCAAAGGAGGGCGGCCCGCCTGTGGATTTCCGGCATCCGTGCACGCCGGTGGAGAGAATGTTGGGTGCCACCTCCCATGCCCATGCCGATGCCTCGTCAGCGGGCGAAGGCAAGGATGAGGATTCGGCGGCAGCAGCGGCAAATGTGGAGAATGGAGGATCGACTGCGATCCCACTACCCCCGTTGTCGTACTACAATTCAGACATTCACACGGCGGCGTTCTGTCTGCCGCAGTTTGCGAGGGAAGCTTTGGATCCGGTCCTCACACCCAAATCTCGGTAATTTGGTTGTGCGAGCTGGACCAGGGGATCGGCCAAGGAGCCGTTTTTCTGACCGTGTGGTTTGCCGGCGGTTCCCGAAAGGATCATAGCGACCAGAAGGGCGTGAGGAGCAACCCAAGAAGCGGGTTTTCTCTTCTACTTCGAGACTTGCAGAAGAAGACCATTCGGCACATCCTCCGCGGTGGACCACGAGAAAGGGGTTTTGCCCTCCATTGTTGAGGGTAGGGGAGGGAGAAAGCCGAACCACGGTCACTTGAAGAAAGAGTATGTAGTAGTCGTTGCCTGCTGACGTTGCGGCTGGGTGATGCAGTGAATTGATTGGTTCACCGCGTTGGGCGTCGCTTCTTGCTGGCCAGCAGAGTCACAAACTTAATCAAGTATTCAATCACCCTGATTCGTGCTGGGCCGCTCTCCATTATTTCTACGACATGCCCCACTTCCTCTCCTCCGGCTCGTCTTTTCCACTTTTTTTCTTGCATGTGATGTTAGAGCCCGGCAGTTTCACGGTGGCTACGCTGGCGGCGCTGCTGCCATGGGGTTGTGGGTTCCCATGCAAGGTTGTCCCCAGGCGCTGCTGCCATAGGGTTGTGGGTTCCCATGCAAGGTTGTCCCCAGGCAGTTTTGCGGTGGCCGTTACACTGGCCGCTCTTCTGCCATGGCGGTGTGGGATTTTGGTGTGTGCCACAGAGAGAGAGAGAGAGAGAGAGAGAGAGAGAGAGAGAGAGAGAGAGAGAGAGAGAGAGAGAGAGAGAGAGAGAGAGAGAGAGAGAAACCTCAAGACTTTCTGGGAGTCCTTCAGTTTGATTATCTGTTTGTCACTCGTCAACTTTTTTTAACAATCTGTAATTTTCTGTATTTGATGGTTCGTGTGCTGCAGGTGCGACAACTGCTTAATGGGCTCCCTCGTTGCCCATCTCGGTTCCCACCAGCTCTTGGTTCTGGGTCTTTTTCATGTTATTCATTATTTGTCTCTCGCACTATACTTTTTACACAATGTGTAATTTATGCTGTATTTGCCGGCCATGCGGCGTGTGTGACTGTGGACAACTTCATGTGCCTTCTTTGCCACAGTCTTCTGTAATTCCTGTCTGATGATCGAAACAGCGTAATTTTTGTCGGGCATTGCCTCTTTTGTTATCTTTTTAGGATTCAGCGACCTTTTCGTTGCGTTTGTGTCACAGTTTGTTTTGGTTTTGTGACTGTAATGAATTTTTTGTGTTCCTCTAGTCCTTACGAATTACTCATGATTATTGATGTTTAGTGGATGTTGCAGGTTCTGCCCAGCTGGATGGGTAATAACTCGTCCACTGTGGGTGGTGGTTTGTTTGTAGAAGTCTGTTGGTGTTCATTTATCTGTAGGAGTTGGTTTCGTATGCGAATGAATGGAATTGTGACAAGCAGTGGACAACATGCCTTCCAAATACGTTAAACTTTTTTTTTTTTTTTTCACTTCACTAATCTGGACCATTTCTTGATGTGTGTCATCCGTGCGCAGGGGCCATTCTAATCTTCTTTCTCTGTATTGTTCCACTTTTAATGGATGTCCCGAAGGACCAATAAACGATGTCAATAGAGCATGAGGTGAATCAATTGAATAGTGTCAACTAATGAGTCGAGTAGGGCGAGCAATGAATGGGTAACGTGCTTTCCGAACACTTTAAACACTGTCAATACTCAGCAACCTGTTACCTGCCACTCGCGCAGATCTGCCTTATGTAATGATTAACCATGGCTTTATCTGCCCTTTGGAAGAACTAACAGCGGCTCACACTGATCTGCCTCTCCAACGAAGTAATAACAAGCACATCCGGCAAACGACTATCGAGGCTGGGCATTAGACAATGGGTCGGGTTGTGCCTGGCAGTGGCCATGCCCTACTCCACATGGTGAGTTGTGAAAGTTTTCATTCGGGAAATTTTGCCTCAAATGGATATTCGGAATGCAAGGCGAAAACTTCATCCACGATGTAGAACAATAATCCGGCCGTCCTGCTTTTGCTGGTAATCGCAGGAAAGCATTATGCGAATGGACGACGACTTCGGCGGATATCGATTGACGTCTTGTCATTTACTACTATGATGACACCTCATATTGGATTGTTGACGATCAAAATTCTGCCCTTAGTTCGTCAGTATGGAGCTCACAATGGGATTCACTCTCCTTTTTTCGTTTTCCTATAACAGGGGGATGACCTTGAGATATCATCATTGAATCCATCGCCCCAGGTAATCCAGAATTACTGTTCCTTACTTTTCCTGCTCATCTGAGTGCACGTGTACTCGAACTCGGGTCCAATATCAACAGCTCATTCATGGGTGTAGCAAGTGTCTTGCTTTTAGCATTTGTTTTTGACACTGTTCTTTAACTTCTTACTTAGACGCTTGCTTCTTACTCACACTTGTGGTTGTGAATGGGGGTGTGGCCCGGTTTTAGGGACCACGTCCGGAGGTTTGAGGGTTGGGTGGTGGAAATCAGGAGGCTGAGTATAAGGGTGAAGATGGGTTTTGAGGGTGTGTATTCTTCTGTTTGTGGTTGGTTGTTGATGTTTTCCTTTTCCGTGCTTTGCATTTTTGTTGGTTTATTTCTGCCTCTTGTGTTTCAAGTCTTGTGTTTTTGTGTGTTTGCCGTTACTTTCATGTCCGAAAGTATTTTTGTCCTTCTCTTCAGGAAGGCCTCACTCCATGTGTTTGTCGCTGCTCTCGTGTCTGGCAGTATTTTTGTCCTTCTCTTCACGAAGGCCTCACTCCAGCCCCCGTCGAATTTGCAAATTAGTGTACTTCGTGGTGGAACACGGGAAAGATGCACTCAATTGTTTGTTTTCTTTTTGTCCTTGTGTTTTTTTATACTAAAAAATAAACTTAGAAGAAATGCTGGAAGCATGAGTTCATTTTGGACATCAATCACATAAATGGAATCCTAAAATGGCTCCTTATATTTTTAGTGAACGAAAAAAAAGTTCATATAATTGACCTTATACAGACATCTAACTTATTATATGAAGCTTGTGATTTTTTAGCTAATGCAGCTAGTAATAAGAAATAATTTTTATTAGTAGGAACAAAATTTCAAGCTTCTGACTTAATAAAATCAGAAGCACTTAAATCTATAAGTGGTGTGTTGCTCGTGTGTGCTGGTACTGTGTTTGGCGGTATTTTTGTCCTTTTCTTTTAGATGACTGGGCTGCTCAAGCACTGGTGGAATGTGTAAAATGAGAATGTACCTACCACCAAACATGGAAAGATGCATCGCCGTCGTGGCTTTGGCAATGCTGAGTAGAGGAGAGGGAATGGGAAGAAAGAAAAAGGGAAAAACAAGTGGCCTGGTTTGGTTTGCATACCAATGACCGATTGGTCATGTTAGTGATCAGGGGGCGTATGGATTTGTTTGCTTTTTCAACTAGGTGCATCTGAGCGAGTCTAACACTTTGAATGTATCTGGATGATTACCATGTCCCCTCTCTCTTTTCCTGTTCCCTAGCTGTCATCTCCACGGACCCAACATGATCTACTGCGTGCTTAGCCACTCTACTCTGTTGCCACTGTTCGACCACTTTGCTCTGTGACGGACTGCGAGCCTGTGGGCATGCGGTATGTCAGGACTACCGGCAGATGATGCCTGATCGCAGGCCTTAGCAAAAGGCCCTCGGGAGAAGTGAATTGCCTTTTGGCCTTGCGTGTAACCAGACATGATGTATTGCCGGCAGATGCGTGATTGCAGACCTTAGCAAAGGCGCTCGGGAGAAATGAATTGCCTCTTGGCCTTGCGTGTAACCAGACACGATGTATTGCCGGCATGTAACCAGACATGATGTAGTGATCAGTGTTTGTCTAGCAGCCCGTAAGCAAACTGGGTAATGATTACCCCTCCTCTAGTTGTCTGCTGAACATACTCTGTTGCAAGTGGGATGCGTTTCTGGCGCCGGACCCGGCGAAACTCCCATTTCGAGTGGCATGCTGTTTGGCAGTCTTCGACTTGGATGTGTTTCTGGTGGCACACCCACTCCGAATTCCCGTTTGGAGCCCACATGCTTTTTGGCGGGGCTACATTTTGGGAAATTTGGCATGATGGTGGTGCTTTTTGGGCCGTTGTTTTGGTGTCAGTTAGGACTGGGACGTATGCTTGATAGTAACTTGCCTTGTCAAGCCTGCAGAACGGTTGTAGTGGGCCATACACCAACTGCTTGATTAAGCGGTGCTACACATGCGTAGTGAGGGGCAGGTGTTGGTGTAGCACTCTGGGCGCAGCACTTCAGCAAGCTGACTTGCTGCTACTTCCTATAGCACATTGAGGAGCGGAGTGGTGCACGCCATGTCAAGGAGTGAGGCACAAGTCACAAAGTAGCCAGGCATAGGGTGAGCACGAGCTGGGAATGGTGTAGCAAGGAGCGTGTCATGCAGTGCAACAGTGAGTCAACCATTTTTTTCAATTTTTTTTTGTTAAGTCCAGATTGTAGTAGAGGCTGGATGCCAGGCCTCGGGGGGTGCCTGTCATTGTACTCAACCAGAGGGGAGATCAGATGGCTTATGACAGCCCCAAGGACAGGCTCCTCCAGGGGGCATCATTTGTGCACTCTTCTTTTTTGTTATCCTAATCAGATGGCAAGTCGAGCTCTACAGCGGTGCAACCCAGACCTGTCTCTAGACCTAGACCTACACCAACCCGTGCCTTCCGAGGGTCTCAGATGAGTGTTCTCCCCGGGCGCTACCATAGGGGCACCCCAAATTCTCGAGGACGACCTGGACACAGGAGGGCTCAGAGATATGTGGTCATTCCCCACCAGTATCACATCTAGCAGACTCCATGGGTGTCTACCACCCTCCTACTGACATACCGTGAGGGTGCGGGCTTGCAGCCCGTAGTGTGACTGACAAAAAAGAACATGGATTCGTTGACAGAAAACGGCACAGGGAACAAGGCCCTGTGTCCATGAGTCTGTCGGCGGATGGTTCTGGTGTTGTTTTGGTCTGGGTGAAAACAAATACTGCAACAATATACGAAGGGAAAATAAAAAAAGAGGGTATTGCTAGGCTGGCAGTTGTGTGATGAGGAGACGTTTCCCCCGGACATCTCCGGGTGACGGTCAGGGGGGAGTTGTCCGGGATACTGGACAATGTTTTTTTTTACCAAAAAAAAAGGGAAAAAAAAAGAGAAAGGAGGGGGTCAGTGCGCCACCGGCGGACCCCCCCAAAAACAATTCAGGCTGTTCTGGGCAAAAAAAAAAAGGAAAATCAGAAACAGTGTGCAATGTGTAATGGTAGGGTGCGGGGGGAGTGGATTGATTGATTGATTGATTGATTGATTGATTGATTGAGTTCGGGAAAATGAAAAAAAAGCAGAGAGGGGACATTATGATGTCGACAACCATGGCGAGAACGTGGGGATGGCAACGCGAGTGCAGCAGCGAGGGAGGACTTGGCATATCATGCATGGAATGACGAAGATGAGGAGGATAAGGCGGGGGGAGGATGACCGGAGGACAGCAGCGATGGGCGAAGACGACGAGGGCAACGTGGAGGACGGGGAGGTTAAAGAAGACGAAGAAAAGGAGGCGTAGGAGGAGGAAGACGGGCACAGCGCCCAGAAGGATGAGGTAGGGGATGGTGGCGACGAGGATGAGTATGAGGAGGGGTATGGGGTGAGCCAGACGCTGGGGAGGAAGAAGAGGAGGAGGATGATGACGTGGAGCGGGCCGAACCTCCACCATTACTGCGTGGTGACCTCGACGCCGAAAATAATCGCCGTTGAATATGAAAATATGCGGCTCACATGGAAATACGCGGTTCAAAACTTCACAAGTTCTGGTTGTTTCACTGAACGATGATCCGCCGTCTTCTCCAAGTGCCTGATCACACCAAGGTTGGGTCCACCAAGATGTCTGAATGAGATAACCCTCACAAAAGGTGCTCCCATAATAAAAAATTCCAACGTACCATGCCGTCCTAACACAGTCCCAATTGCACCCTGACCACCAAAGATACCGCCCAATCAGCCGCAAGTCCGCGCCGCCTCTCATCACGTCCACTCACAATAACCACACCAACATGCCGGTCCCGATCACAACAACTAGTCCCACCTAG